TGATCGTAAATTGGAATATGTAAACGAGAATCGCGGAGATTTCATTTATTCAGACTGACTAGTTTCGAAATGTGTGCCTACGAAGTAAGTAAGAATGCCGCTTGCTAGGTAAGTAAGGGTATACATGACTCCGGTGATAAATAAGGCACTTCCACGGTTGATTGCATCAAGGTCAGGATCAGCATTGATCGGCGCTGTATCAAGTTACGTTGACGAAAGTACCACCAATGACGCCCATTGTGAATATGTAAAGGCCATAAATTTCCCCTCGCAATCGAAAGATTCTGAATCATTGATCTGCCTTCATTCTGGGTTAAGTAAACAAGCGACACAGATATTGCATTCATGAACATAAGATGTTGATGGGCTGTGACTATCAACAGTTCTGACCGAAGCTCTGTCAGTGAAGGTAGCAGAAATGGTCTCATTAATGTTTAAAGTGAAGGTTCCCAATGACTACACATGAAATTTAAATCGGCCTTTGATTTAAGTTTGGTATTAAGGAATTTGATATCGTATGGAATGTCAGAAGCTATGGGGGCATCGATGAACTTTGTTCATTTTATGCTTGTTAATTAGACGTGATTGATCAAGATCAAAAGATGCGGCAATTTCGAATTCCTTTGTGGAATGGTTCTACAACCAGTGCTTGTAATTTGTAAAAGGGGTCAATATATATAAGTCTTTGCAGCATTGTGTTTTTTTATTTTTTTATTTTTGGTAATTTGTTTCGTTACCATAGATGCTGTTACGTGCTGAACACGCATCGGAAGGACAGCATTTGCGAGAAATTTAGTCGCTACTGGCCAGTTCATGAATGCGTACGTTCTGTGGAAGAATCGTGAGTACGGACATGCCGACTTTCAAGTGCGAGTGCAGATGTCGAACTTGTTCTCAAAGCGTAACTGTCGGGTGCGACGACGTCGAGGCATCTACGCGGGTGAGGGCCTGTTCCCGGGAACGGTTCTGGTCAGTGGCCAGGAGTCGTTGCTCGAAACCGCTTCTACACACGTACCGAACATCTTCAAGCAGACGGAGGTGAAGCTGGGTCGCGTGAACAAGGTGTTCGCAGCCACCTGGTTTGCCAACGACAAAATCGTCATGGGTACCAAATGTAACAAGCTGTTGGTGCTGGACGTCAACAAGCGTGACCTGATCACCATTCCGTCGTTGAAGAGCTCGCTGAAGGCCAACTTCGTCGATCAGAACTGTGGCATACATGCCATACGCATGAACCCTTCTGAAACGCTGTTGGCCACCGGCGCCGAAAACCCTGCCGATGTCGCCGTCTACCGACTGCCATCGTTCGAGCCGGTCACCGTCGGCGAAACTGGCCACTGCGACTGGCTGTTCGATATGCGATGGCTGGACGACGAATTCCTCATTTCCGGTACGTTTCATTATTTTTTCTCTCTGTCGTTATTGTTTCATCTGTATCACTCAGTGCTACAGTGTGATTGCAGTGCAGTAACGTGTTCATAACTCTGTCCTCAAATTCATGTCATGTGGAGGAGTTCACCGTGGCGAAATGGTCGTGGTACTGATGAAGCAGTGGTAATTCGAGAATATGATCATCTGCCTTATGTTTATAAAGCAAATGATATGAAAAATCCTTAAATGAAAGAGTGGAGTGGATCAAAATCAAACTGGTTGTTGATTGCGTCGCGTTGTGAAATGAAACGTTAACGTTAAAATTTGATGGGAGCATCACGAATGTGCTAAAACTCTGAAGTGCAAAATCAAAGGTGAAAGCCTTTTCCAGCTGGATTCTCCTGGACTTCGATTGATCTTGGCGAAAGTCATTTATTTCCAAGGATTGGAAGCAGTTTCAAAAGCGGGCATTACATCGGATGCATCGGTTATGAAACACTACCCATGTGCTTATGCGTGACGAACGGTTCGTGAGTGTAATTTGTCGAATATTAAGGCTCACCGATCGTTCGTTGCAAAAATACCCACCGCACATTCTTGCTCAGAGAATAGCTTCTTACTGAATTGACAGTTTCGAGCTGCTGAGGCACACAATGTATCTGGACTCTTAGCCAGCCTTAGTCATCGACTCAGTTTATCGCCAAATAATATAATGTATGATTCTTCAGTATGGAGTTTCTCACGCTATGTTAATCTTAACCTTGAGAGAAGGCCTGTAGCAATCGGCAGCATGTTCCGCAAGAATCAGAATAATCGTTACATAACTAGTTCAGCATCATTCATGATATATGTCAAGGCCAGTTGGTCATTAATATATTATTAAGTTATCATGTGGATTATATTTTACTGGCCAAAGAACGTCTTCCAGAATGACGAAGAATTGGTCATTTTGTCACCAATGCAGCTCTACGTACCGGAATGGCATTTTTTGATGGATCCTGAGTACGCCAATGACATCTTGTTGATTAGTCGCCAGTCTTTGGCCTACAGACTTTTCTTACAAGCATGCGCAACATTGCAGTTGGAATACTGCTACAGTTTGAGGCCAAGAAGGCAGAAGGGAGGTATAAGGGAGTTATGAGGGAGTCAACCGCGAACGACAGTCAGAAAATACTATGGAATATCATTCACTGCTATAAAATGGGTGTGTTGAAAGGAGTAACTAACAGGCTTCGTTTATATACAACGCGAAAATGTGGTCAATCGGATGATTGACCCGTAGCGACGTTTCGGTTCGTGACTCTTAGCCTTCCTTAAGGTGGGAACTCGGTTGGGCTTCTGAAGTTATTCCTGCTGTTCCCAGCATTTGGAAGGTTTAAAGCCAGAAGACAAATTG